AGTATAACACAGTACTGTTTTGTACCCGTTTTTCTCTGCGAAGGAGTGAACATCACAATAGACATTTATACACCATTCGATAGCCCTTTTCAAGGGCTACATTTTAGACTATTTGTTTTTGAAAAAGGAGCAACTTCGATTTTCCACCTAATGTCCGCCTAGATGCCCACTGTGCATAGATATGCGCTTCTTTCTAGTAAATCCTGCCCTTCTCATATCGATAGTGAATGGACATGCTAAAATACGTCAAGTCCTTAACTATGACTTAAAATAAGTATAAAAAAAATATTAAAAATACTTTTTAATAACTTTAAAAAGCGCGTCTAGCATAGACGTGTCTTGACGCGTGTGGGAAAGACGCGTTTTAACATAGCGAAATGGTGCAAATTCGATGTGTTTGAATAGTGACAACGAGGATTTTCTACGTAAACTGATTTTATCGTCAAGTACTCCTGGAAGTGAAAGCACACGAGAATGCAATTTGGTCTTATGTGGTCCTGGTGTAAAGTAAAAAAGAAGTAAAAATTTCCCACAGTACCTTTCTGTATAGGGTGAGATAGAAAACAGTACAAAAATACACAAAATTAGTGTTCTTTTGCTCTTTGTTATGTTCGTTCATATCGATAAGTTAATTGAAGGTATACCATCAGCCTTTTTCTTATACCGGCCATGACTAATTTAGATGACTGGGAAGGATTATGTGGTTCACGCAATTCATCTAGTGAACTGTTATATTGAATCCATCGGATTATACAACAGAAAAGAAATTTAAGGCTTCCTTGTGTGTCGAACCATCAACAACCGATTTGCGTGCTTTCATTTTGTCTACTATAACAATACAAGTAATACATTATATTGAAAAAGAACCCGAAAAAATGAGCGAAAGAACAAAATAATTGAATAACTCTTGAAAAATCAATATTAAAATTAATAATATATTTACTCACTCTTCATTATTTGTTCTCAGTCTGTCATTAACATTGTATATTCTGCACTTGAAAAGTCCATACGGAATCAGTAATAAAAGCCAATCTTCCGCTAATGTTTTGTGTGCTGACCGGCTTGAGAAAAAAATGCTTTTGTTTAAGGTTTCGACTTTATTAGTACGGTATGAGGTTACGTGATAGCTTTCATAATCAATAAAACTAGTCGTAGATGTTATTTGCACTTAATCGATTACACTGTTCTGACCGCACGCAAGAGGGAAAACATATAAAAGCTTTTATCTCAGGACACTGTGTTTCTAACAATGTTCTTATAAAGAGCATGTATCTCTTTTTCGACTCTTTAGTCGCAAGGTGTATGCGTATGCGTGATTTATAACGCTAATGATATCTCACCAAAGACGCATGTCGTGCTTAGATCATCGTCTGTGCTTCTTCAAACATAACTTACGCAAAACGTCAGCTGTCCGTTTCATTTTCCTTGGAAATCAAGACAAAATCTCTTATGCCGATATAGCTAGGCAAGACAATACTTGATGTCCGACGCGATGCCCACGAAACTCGTGGTGTATAAACTTCATTAATTGTTGGTTTAAGCTTTAATCTTGAACCAGAACGAAATCGAGAATATACATTCTCATTATATCATTCTGAAACTTAAACTATCAAGTACCTGTGGCTTTGACGCCCTGGCCCTACTCTACCCTGTGGGGTTGGGTAGGGTAAGGGCACCCTGCACATCTCTAGCGTATATGTCGTAAAGCTCTTTTTTCTTGCACAGAGAGTATAGCTGAACACACAATCAGTTGGAACCAACTAGATGCTAAGTTAGTTATCCAGAAGTTGCCGTCTTTTGGAAACTCCGTACCGAGATGTTTTTTCATTTTCTTTCTAAAAAGATTTGCACTGAACTGTTTAGCTCATGTAATCGAGCGATATGAATACTAAAGTTTTGGCTTAGAATTTGACTAAGTAAATAAAAAACAACTGTCATAATGCACTATCTCAAAAGGAACAATACGCACGATCAAATGTCTTGGACTTTCAAATTATGCCTGGATAAGTAACTTAGCATCTAGCTGGTTCCAAATGATTAGGTGTTCACCCATACTTCCTGTGCAAAAAAAACACCGTTACATACTTTCAAATAAATATTATATGTGCACATAATCTCAAGTTGAAATAATAATTACGTGTACTAAAACAGAATCACACTTTCCCTTTCTATATTACTTGAGTCCATTTCTATTAAAACTGAAGCCTAGAAAAGGTGGCAGTAATGAAAATTAATTTACTCTTATCGTCTTTATTCTGTTTAATAACTGATTTGAAACTAAAAACAAGTTTCTATATTTTTTGTCAGTTTTCAAGCAAAGAAAAATATAATAAGAGTTAATGGCACCCACGAACTTCTCATCATCCTCATATTACTTCATTTGATAAGAATATAAGAAAATAAATTCAATTAATTTTCCCTTTTCATATCACGATTCTTCTTTAGTGGTTGAATCCTTATACCTGCCTTTCATCAAATTAATAAGTATTATTCTCAACACTCAATATATTTGTTACAAAATGACCTTATTGTACGCGTCTTGCGTTGACAAAATAACTCTTTAACCTTCAATATTCGGAATGCATCCGAACGAGTATGAAAAAATAAGTAAAAGTGCAACTGACTTTGTCATAAAAAGAGAAAGAAAAGGTTTCCGACACCATTTCATAATAAAATCTCCGAGGTTAAGCGGCGAAACCATCTTGATAAGTTTCTATCTTGTTCACTTTATGCCGTAACAAAACACTCTGAACCACATTCGTGAAAAACTACAGCTATCTATATACATATCTGAACACCCGAGAAAATACTAGAAATGGAGAGTAATGACATCAGAAGAACTAATCAGATCATAGCGTCATTAAAACAGTTCAAGACGTCAGAAGAATAGGAAAGAGTGTGACCGTTACTACTAACCAGACTAATGACGTTAGTGAAACTGGAAGGAGAAAGGAGAAAAATATGATCTCCTTATGTCATCGTGTGACTTAAAAAAGATGAAACGACAACAACAAAATTGCTCAACTGAAAAGAATTACTACTTAACGCCTTCTCTGATACTATTTAATAGATGATTGTTTCGTATTCGATCAAACAAAACGTTTTCCGCATAAATATTGCACGAGAGATACAACCTCTGGGTTTCTTCAAGTTTATCTGGAAATCTGAAAATGTACAATTAACAAAGATTATATTTACTTTATCATTCATCTCTCTTTCTAGTTTTCAAAAACATCTAATGTGTGCAGGGAACTAAAACAAAGGTGGTTATTTCCGAAGCAGTTTACCAAGCAGGTCTCGGGCTACTGAGACGACTGTCTCTGGTCAACTGTTGTGAATAGGCTCGTCCTAATACGGAGTCATCTAATGACGTTAATGGTGAGCTTATGTGCCACATAGGAGACGTCATACTGTCGGTTGATGTTGTAACGAATCGAGCACTTTGTGCTGAAAATGACGATGACCGATAACTATTCAATCCAAACGTTGACAATGAACTAGAAAGCAGAAACTCATCTGATGAGCTTTTTCGCTCTAGTTCGTTTTCATTTCGAATATATTGTTGACGATAGAGATTTTTATTATTGTCTGACTGTAAGTTCGCTGCGCGTCTATAACAGAAAAAGAAATACTATTTATCCTCAGGTATAATAAGAACTGTACTTTGATGATAGTAGCAACCAATAACAACATGTTGCTATTGTACTCAATAACACTATTGGTAAGCCCAAACCTAAACCGAGTTTCAACGGTAACCAATCAATATCAGCGTTCGATTGACCTGCAAATACGCAAAGTTTAGAATAAGACTAAGTTATGGGGCCATACAAACTTGTTGTTGCAATAGCTGTCGTTGTAAAAACACCAACGATAAATGTAATGCAGAATTGCTGTGATTGGGCCAGATAACTATCGATAGCAGCGCAACAAAAGACTTGTGGTCCAAATTGATCGTCCGTCGGCGTCCAACTTAAATCAATTGAATAGATCGAAGATTGTTGTTGCACCACCGAAGAACGGAGCATTCCAATGGGTGATGTGGTTAAGAAATCGCTGATATTTGTGTTGTTGCAGTTAGCCTGTGCTAAAATTTGTCCGGTATATGGAACATTGGGTTCGACATAAATTATAGTTATTGTATTGAGAATTGTTGGGATAAGTATGCAACTATTTGACGGAGCATATATGTAGATAAGAAATTGTAAAGGCACAGAACTGAGAGGTACAACACTGGATGATGTGTAGAAATCTTCAATCTGCAATGCAACTGCATAATATCCAATAGTTGCTTCTTGAAATAACAACGTACAATTATTGTTAGGCGAAAAGAGTGTGGAATTCGGAAGTGATTGGCAAACACCTCCACATTCATTGATTGTTGTTGTGGTAATATTTGCTATACTTTTATTATTACTTGCCCATCGACAACGAACATAATCATTGTCGCCATCTGCCATTGGAACGCTGATAGTTTCCAGTGTCTTAAGTGGAACGGCGATCACCGACAGAATATTTGATACTGGTGGAGTATTTAGGTTACCATCTGGACGTAGTTGAAGATTAATATAGGTGACAATGCTCCACGGGACACATGTACCCACAACTTGTAAAAATAACCAACATGAACTTTGATAGCCAAGTATAAATTGTGCACCCATAGTTAACGATATCTTATCACTACGACGACCAGTTGATACGACTTGTGTAGTACTAAAATCAGTACCTAAATCAGCCGAAACAGCACTAAATTTGATAGACGATAGAATGATATCACAGAACAACTTACATTGAACTTGCGTTAGAACATTATTTGAATATCCACCACAATCTGATGATGAAATGCACGTCAAAGTACCGTAATCACCAATGGATGTATGGTTTAATATTGATGTTGTGTTACAATAACAATTCAACGCTGTTCGTAACCATGAATAACTTTGTGTAATGATAATATCAACCGTACTATTCGTCGTTGTGTTCAACGATGGTTTATAACTGAACGCACCACCACGAAAGTGCGAGGCTTCAACAGATGAGATACATAAGAAAAACAGCAAATAGTAGTTACTTCTCATCATCCTCATATTACTTCATTTGATAAGAATATAAGAAAATAAATTCAATTAATTTTCCCTTTTCATATCACGATTCTTCTTTAGTGGTTGAATCCTTATACCTGCCTTTCATCAAATTAATAAGTATTATTCTCAACACTCAATATATTTGTTACAAAATGACCTTATTGTACGCGTCTTGCGTTGACAAAATAACTCTTTAACCTTCAATATTCGGANGTGTGACTTAAAAAAGATGAAACGACAACAACAAAATTGCTCAACTGAAAAGAATTACTACTTAACGCCTTCTCTGATACTATTTAATAGATGATTGTTTCGTATTCGATCAAACAAAACGTTTTCCAAAATGTTTATGATACTTTCCCCGTTTGCTACTCCTTTTTCTTCATGTACCTTTCAGGAAATTTTGAGTGCACCCGAATCCTTTCTTCTCAAAGCGCAATTAACTCTCTCGTATTTTGATTTTTCTTCTTTGTACGAAATTTTGCTAGAATGGGAAGGAAAGTTCTCTTTTTCTCGCTGATCTTATCAAAAAATGAGAACTCTTTAAGTCTAAAGATACGTCGTCTATTGTCAATTCCTTTCATGTTCTTTCCTTTAACGTTAGAGGGTTAGATCTGCGTCATCAGGAGGTACTTCTTCTATCTAACACGTTCAATTTTGATATTTTAATTTTATTAGAAACGGGGCAGAAAAATAGCGAAAAAGGAACTAAAATTATTTCTTTCTAACAATCTGACAATCTCTCTTGCTGCTAGTAACACTTCCTTACCTCTGTCTGTTGTCTTCTGGCCCAGAACCAAAAAATTCATGAAATCTTCGTCTCCTTCTTTGCATGGTTTTATGCTTAGTAATGGCGAGGTGGTTAAAGATTCTGAAAAGATGTGCGAGGTTGCGGCAATCCATTATGAGGATCACTGTAAAGAGCCAGAGGTTTATCGTCCACATCCGTACACCGATGCTCCGGAAGTTGTTTGGGACAATTATGAAGAAAAAATTCCACCTTGTTCCTTTGAAGAGGTAGTGGATGTTGTTTGTCATCGAAAAAAGAAGAAATCGCTGGATGCTCATGGAATATTGAACTTTATTTTCAATTTTCTACCTCTTTTATTCTGGTTTCTCTTTGTTAAAATAGTCAATCATTCGTTTTCGGAAGGAATAGTGCCTGAAATGTGAAAAGAAACAAGAATGTTGTTATTAGCTAAGAAAGAGTCCATTTGTGAACCTGGTGCCACTAAGCCAATCCCTGCTAGATGTTTTTTCAAAAGTTCATGAAAAGCTATTCTTGACTAGATTTAGGAAGGTGTTGAATAAGAGAGGATTGTTGCCTGAATCACAATCTGGCTTTCGACCAGAGTTTCGTTTACAAACTCGTGTGCTGTTGTTCTTCGAGCAGATTTCTAGTTTGATGTCTAATAGTTCACCTGTAGCGACAGTTTTCGTCGATGTTAAGAATGCATTTAATCAATTGTGGCATACCGGCTGTCTTGCTAAATTAAAAAGAATGGAAATTCCAAAAAATTATTTACATTGGATAAATGTATGGTTGAGTGGAAGAAGGGCATTTATAGAGATTGGTGGAAAAAAGTCAAGATGGTTTAAAATAATGAAAGGAGGACCGCAAGGAAGCATATTCACTCCAACACTTTTCATTTGTTATCATAGCGATATGGACATTTTTCTTGGCTTTTGTTTAAGTCATTTCGACGATTTGGCGGCTATTCTAGCTGGTTCTATTGGTATGGAATATACCTCTCAGTGTCTTGATTTAGAACATAAACTCCAGCTCTTTTTCGATCGATTAGAATACTATTGTTGTTTGGCAGTTCAACCTATCAACTACGATAAAACGCAAGCACTCTTTTCAGCACGTGCTATCGGTTATCCAAATATAGAGTTGAAATGTGGTGAGAATGATATTCTATGGACAAAAGTGGTTAAATATTTAGGTTATATCATTACTCCTACTTTGGGTTTTGGTGTGTTGATTGAAAAAACAATGATAAAAATTCGTCAAAGGGTTGCCATGATTATCTCTTTTCGTTTCGCTGGATTCACTTCTCCATCTCTTAGAAAAGCTTTGTTTCTCTCATATGTTCTTCCTTTGTTCCTTTGGTTGTTTCCTCTCTATCCACTATTCACTATTAAACAGCAGCAAGATTTAAATCACTTTTATAATACGTGCTTAAGAAGGATTACGTACTGTCTTCATTGGAGGGATAACTTCTTTTCTTATGCATCTAATGAACCTTCTTTGGAAGATCGGTGTTGTAAATATTGGAATAGATATTTTGTAGCCTTGTCAGATACTGTTGATGGTAAATTAATCTTTGAGGGGCGAATTTCAATGTTTTTAGAGAATCTTGGCGTCAGAAAGAACACAGTGTCAAAGGGGTTTTTAGATCTAAAAGATTTGTTGCACATACGTCGCTGTTAGAGAAATGTACATCGTGGTGCGCAGGCATTCTCTCGAATGAATCAATCTTAAATTATGACATAGACGAAATTCAAATCTTAAGCGAGTTCCCTGAAACATTCTAATCACTACTTCTTCCCTACTTTTTCTATTCAGTATGTTTTAGATGTGCATTTAAACAAAACTGTAATTAAACGAATAATTGTATAAAAACAGAAAAGTTCTTTTGACCTAAATGACTTAAATGTTTTTGTTCTTTTTCGCTATATCTCAACTCTTCTGTTTTGGGTCTTAAAATTTCTCTTTCTTCACTTCGAATCTTAAGTCTGTGATAACTTATTGTTTCTAGATGTTGACTCATTCATATAGCTTGTCATCTTACTTCTCTACTTTTCTATAACGTTTTCTTTTCCACTCTTGTACTGTAAGGACCATAAATGGTCACAGTTATTTGCAAAATAATAGGACTTCTGAGTCACCCTTTATTTCTTACACAAACACACGCATGCACAACAGCTAGCAGCGATCAATGATGATTATTGTAATTGTATCTATTAATTACCAAATGCTTCCAATTTGAAAGCTTGAATAGTGGTACTTGAATAATAACGAGGCTATAACGAGCGTTATGTCTAAATACATAAGTACAAGACAAAAAAATTATGTAGAGAGAGAGAAAAAAAAGAAAACAGAGGAGAAACATTCCAATCAGTCCAATCAGTCTCTTCTATTCACACATATAATAAAATTCGTAGATTGTCAAAGAAAATTTTGCACGAAAATCGATTTAAGCCATTTAGAAAAATGTCCGTTGAAGTCAGGCATATTTACTCTTTCTAAGGTCCAACCTCAAAAAAAGAACATAATACTGTGGCCATAGATCGCTCGTTTTAACAAGACAGAATTTCGAAGTCGACATCTTACAGATGAACCATGACTAGTATTGTGTCTTCTAAGCATTTTTTCAGAAAGCGTTCCCTAAGTGTCTCAACATGTTTCTCTCAAATTTTATGCCTTAGTAAACAGATATATAAGTGACACTTTCTGCAGAAGAGGTTTTGTTAAAGTCACTTTACTTTTTAGTGTGTGTGTACATATGTCTCTTACTCGGGTATAGCTAGAGGTCAATATTAATCATCATATTTTTTAATTGACAATTATTTTCCGTTAATTCAGAAACATATATATAAGTATGAATATGTTACATTTAAAATAA